CAGGTCACCCCTGGCTGGGTTTCATCTGGTCACTCCAGATATCACCCAAAGCACTTTAAAATCCCCAACGCACTTACAAGTATTCGGCCACGCGAGTGAGGCTAGCAACTGGCAGTTGCCACAGGATAAATGGGAAAAATGCCTCGGATTGAGTAAATCCCTTCTTCACGTGCCATGGGTCTTGAAAGCCCAATCGGCTGATAGCGTCAGCCCAATTGCTCTTCGAGGGGATCCACTCGAAGAACATCCAGCACTGCAGACCGAAGAGCAAAACATGCACAATTTGTGACATGCGCTCCAAGTCTGCCGCATCCGATCGTCCCCGGATCAGTGCCATGAGGGCGGCACTGTTATCCAGGAACCAGACCCCTCGCCTGCCTCGGAAACGGTCTGGCCTGGTCGTCAGCGCAAAAATGAGTTGGACAAGTTCGAGCTGAGCGATCTTCTTCTCACCGGGAGTGAACAGGCTATACAAAGACCTGGGCATATGAGAAACAAAAATGGATCCTTCTTGAGAAGTGATAGGTTCATCTCTTAATTTAGTAGTCCAAGAAAAGACCTTGGAAACCAGGTCTGGCACAAGTGGTCCACAAGTGTGGTGGAGAAAAAATGAGGTGAAAGGAAGTGTTTCTGTTTTGTGCAAAGGTGTGACACAAGTGCTCCATTGCCATCTTTGGAGTGCTCCACTACCATTCCTCCAAGGATGAAAGCGGCCCATGGAATCAGCAAGGTTCTTTTGTGAATAAGGATGGACCAACAAGGGTCAAAAGGCCTTATAAGATACTATGTCCTCCAAAAGTGGGCTGGAGGACATATCCTTTTACCTCTCTTGGTAAATGTGTTCTGGTCATCCAGGAATGAGGTTGAAACATTCAAGTCTCCAGGAATGAGGTCGGGATGAATGAGGTCATTGCCATATTTGTGTTGAACACATTTCCCCTTTGGAATATTGTCTTGTTCTTGTGTTTCCATGATATGATTCTGATGTTTGCACATATGGACCAGAAACACCCAAAAACCAACAAAAGATTACAATTGATTTCTTACTGTTGCAAAATGCTTTGCAATGTAAGTGGGCATATTCAATATTACATTACCTGAAATGTGTTGTGATGCAAGCTGCAGGCGCAAACACAGATTGTGACACCCAGACACCCAGGCCAATACAGAAAACCCAACAGGATGCTGATAAGTGGTTTGCTTGGAATTAATTATGTGTAAAAAAGTAGCAAATATTCAAACCTCTTCCAAAAACCACAAAACCAACGCAATAAAGCCGGCCACCAAAAACTAAAACAGTCCACCCGACCGCTGTCAAACTAAATTCTTTTTCTCGCAGGCTGACCAAGTCTTGTTGAACCATCAAGAATCCTTTTTAAGATTCTGCTCTTTCACCTTTGCCGCTACCTCTGCCACAAGCTTCCTCGCTTCTTCTTTTCTTTTTTTCTGTCGTTTTTTCTCCCGCTTGTTTTTCAACTGCTTTGCTTTCCGGTAGCGCTCCAGCTGCTTCCTCTCTAGTGCTGCATCTCCAACTCGTGGATCTACTGCTTGTTGTGTGGTGAACACAGAGACATTCACATGGTCAGCTCCTGAACCTTCTGCAGTACTGGTACTGGTGGTAGAAATCGAATTCCCTGCGGTTGCAGCAGCACCTGGGGGAAAGTGACGGGTAAAGGCTGCAAACATAGCTGCTGGGTCGACCGGTGTGGCGAAGATTGTGTCATCGCGGTCAAGGTCAGTGACCACACTTGCAACATCATCCAGTCCCACGAATGTAGCACTACTCTCTGTGTCAGACTCGTCGTGGTCCATCGGGTCGAAAGGAAACCGCCGACTATATAACTGAGCGCTGAGAACATTGTAACATGGGAGTTGTTGGGCGTCATTTGTCGCATGTTGTTTGTGTTGGGCGGAGTTGGTTGGTACTGGACTCTTGTGTGTGTGTTTGGGCTTAATTTTGGCGCTATGTGCTTTAAAACATGTTTTGCTGGTGGCCTAGTTTGAACCTAGTTTGAACCATTAAAACTGCGTTTTATTCATTTCAGAATAAACACAGCTTTTGCCCTTACCCTTGGTTTGCCCAGGCCAACCATCCAGGCGCTGGCAGGCCAGTGCGACCACTGGCTAGCCAGCTTCTGGGCATGGTTGGCCAGACAACTTAGGGCCAGGCACTGCGCAAGACAAGTTCTGTCCGAACAAGTTTCTCTCAAACCACAGTTCTACTTACATGCAACCAACTCGTTTGCACAACTTCTCTGACACAGTTTCTCTGACAACGTTCTACTTACCCGAACATGCAACCACAGTTTCTCTGACAACGACCAACAAACTCTTTTTGCACGCGAGGTTCTTGAGCAGCTACGTAGCTAGAACGTTTCCAAAACTACAGCGCTGTACCCTTTGGACTCACCATGGAGATTGGCCATGATGTCTTGAATGTTTAGTGCGAAGTCAAAAGTGCATATGGAACTGTGGAACCAAACCTTTTTGTTAAAAATTGGTCATAAGGTGCCATGGATTTTAAAAAAATGCTTGCCTCTCCAAAACTCGAGTCCCTCGCCCCCAGCGCCAACCATGATATCAGCAGACATCATGTCGCTACAAGTCATCACTGTCCATCGAGGCCCTTGCAGACCACCAAAGCTTTTCCAGGGCTCAAGGTGACAGAGCCTTTCAAAAAAAGTCCAGGCTTCACAGGAATCAATCCTTTCACTGCGGAAAACTTCATAGTCCACAGTACACTCACTGAATTTGATGCCTTCCATACCTGCATGGATTCTTTGGCTGCGCAATTGAACTCTTTCATTTCACTGGCTTTCTCTTCAGGCCGAGGGATGAAAATGACACGATGGGTTCTGGTAAGCTGGAACTGGTTTGGGTTCTCAGTGTCAAAGGTGAGCTTGAAATAAGTCACTTTGCAATCCGGGTTCTTGGTCCTCAACTCCTTCATGACATCACCAAGGCTCTGCAAAGAGCCGTTGTAGCAAATCTGGTCCGCGCTGCCACTGAAGTCCAACTCAACGGCCCCTTCTGGCAAATCTGCATCTTGCTTGATGATCTTGAAGCTTCCTTTCCCAAATCCTCCAAGTGGGGTTTCATTCCCAACCCAATCTTTGCTTCCTTTGTTCAAAAGGTAGATGTGGTTGTGGGATCGGACCTGCAAATAGATGGGCGGTTCTTTGGCACCTATGCGGCATTCGTTCAACATGGCTTTGTCGATGGACTCTGCATCCACTACCAAACCAGGATCCAAACAGCATCGAGCTTTCTTCAAAGGACTGGGCCCAGGACCTGGGCCTGGATTGGTTCGCTTGTTGGGGTTCGCTGGGTCATTGATGGGGGGATCGTTGCCGGTCACTTGCTCCTGGATGGCATGGTCTTCCAAGAACTCATCCAGGAACTTCTGGAACTGCGAGCCAACCAAAGGGTGGTTTCGCCATTGGTTGACCACACCTGCAGGCATAAAAAGGCCAAGCCATGTGGAATGATGGCTAGCCAGTCTGCAAAACAATCAATTGGAAAAAGTGTCTTTTGACATGAAAAACGAGTCTTGAGGACATTTGTTATTGTTAAATATGAGATTTCTAAAAACTGAATTGCAAATGCTATGATAGGTTACAAAAACAAAATACATACAAAATAACCAACATCTAAAAACACAGGTAAGGCACCAAAACATTCAAACGAGGAATGTCAGGCAAACTTTCCAGCAGGTCTTGAGGCACATTGAAGTCCAGCTTCTCACCATTGGGCATTGGGGCTCCACCCATGTACTTCTCAACAAGGAGCTCACGGGACACCTGCTCAACATAGGTTGCCTGGTTCTGGTCCTCACAGAAACCAAGGAAGAACGTGTGAGGTTGGTTTGGCCTCTGGTTCAGGAACGCTTGGTACATTTCCCCACAGCCCACGTTGAGGTCAATCACCAACACAGCCGGACCTACAGTCTCATAGCTCGCACCTTGCAAACTCGAAGTCAAGACTTGCTGGCAAGCCTCAACCCCAAGCTGTGCATATTTGGCTGCCCCCTTCACCCGCAGCCGGTCATCCATGGTGTCGGGCACCGAGTCAGGGTCCATGTTCTCGATTTGCAACATTTTGCCAGGGTTGAGTTGGGACACTTCTGAAGTCCTTTGGGTTTTGCGGAGCTCACTGGACCACCACACATTCTTGGTCAATTCGAGCGGTGTGTTGAAGATCAACCGGCCATAGTAGATCATGGGTCTCTGATCTCTTGCATCAGTCTTGTCGGTGAACAGGATCGAGAAAGGCCAATCCAAATTCAAGTGGCTCTGGGCAAGCTTCTCCAAAATGGATTTCTCTTCTAGGAACAAACGGCCTTTGGAGTATGCGAATGCAGGGCAAACCAGCACCCCCATGCTCTGCATCTGGTCTGAGAGCGCCCATGAGATCATGTCCAAAGAAGCATGGTGCACTGCAGTTGAAATACACCAACTGTGTAATTTCACCTGAGTTGTCCAACCCCAATTTGCCTTGAATCACATTGCGTTTGAAAGCCATGGTTTCCGCAATGGACTTCTCAATCTTCTTTTCCCAAACTGCCAGGCGAGAGCAACTGGACAAGAACAGGTCTGCAG